CTGCTCCGCGCTTCCTGACGCCCTCCCGGGCACGGCCCCCACCCCCACCCGCCCACGGGCTCGCGCCCCGACCTCTCTTACCCGTTTGGGGACTTTGGCCAGGGAGTCGCACATGCTGACATACTCGGGACTGTAGATGTAAACCGGGGGCAGCGACTGCCCGCTGTCCGCGGGTTCCTCCGCCTCCTCCATCTCCCACTTCCAGCCGTGCCGGAGCCACCGTCCGGATCCGGCTTTTTTCGGACTCAACCCCGGCTCCGGTTCCTGCTCCTCTGATCGGCCGCAGCGGTGCTCCCTGGTCAACATTCCCTCCTCGAGATCGCCGGAGACACTGTCCCCCTCCCCGTCCAACTGAAGCAATGCATGGGCCTTCCCAGTCCAGAACCCCTTCATTTAGTGAGCACACTTCAAAAACGGCAGGTGGGCGGGTAGAAAAGCCCCCCAAACTGACAATTAGGAAGGATATTTTATGGCACAAATAAGCACGGTCAAAACTAACCATCCTTGTTGCCCTACGGGGCCATTTGAGATGAGGTCAGATCAGCTTCAGAGCATGCTGGGAGATGTAGTTTCAAGGGGTTCGAGTAGCGGAAGAACCGGGACTAATTACTAAAATAGCCGCGAATTTGAGTTTTAGCGCTAAAAAAAAAAAAAAAAAAAGGAAGCAGCAGCAGCTTGAAATCTTTATTAATTTTTTTTCAGTCTGAAGATACACCCATATAAATAGTTAAAGACAGACACAATGTAGCCACTGAGAGCACCACCCACCTTCATCAGAGGGGCTTTTTTGGGTGCTGGACCAATGAATGGTACAAACGGTTTGAAAAGTTTGCATTGTAAAACTCTATGCCTCTGTGCCACCACGTTAGTTCATTGCTTTTCATCAACTATCCATGTTCATGTAAGAGTTAACAATCTCAATCATTGACTCTGGCAAAACGAATAGCATTTTCCCCAAAGGCTGGAAACTGCTTGGCAGATTCAAATCAAGTAGTGATATCAAATTGCTCCCTGTAAATTCATGTGGCGTAAGGGTGTAAGCAGATACTTTCAGTGATGTTTGGAAACATTCGCTGCTACAGAGTTAGGGAACCATCGTAGGTTTCATGTGAGGGTCCACATTAAATAACACTCTGAAGCAGTTTTAGAATCACCTTCGCTATCCCCAGGTTCTTAGGGAACACTGTGTAGTGATGCAAGGTGGCCGATGCCCAAGCCGCCAACTCACATCATCCTCAACTGACATACTAACACCCCTCAGACGACCCAGTATCCTTAGCTTCTTTAAAATCTACCTTGCTGTTTATTCTTTAAATGTGTATTGAACATTGGGATATGCATTTGCATATATTATCTCATTTCATTCTTCCAACGGTCCTATGAGGATTGTAATACGCCCATTTTACACATGCGGTATAGGGACAGAACATAACTGTTCAAAGTCACACACTTAACAGACAGAAAAGCAGGAACTCAAAACTAGGTCTGCTTGATACTGAAGCCTTTGAACATTCCCATTACTATATGAAGCTGGTTCCTCCAGGATGGCTCTGTGTTAAATGTAACTTCGTTCAACCCTGCATTGAGTATCCCCTCGATACTTAGTATGCTGGAAATGTTGCTTTTTCCCCCTGTAATGTGTTCTGTAACTAGCACGTAAGCTCTCATGCTTGTTTTATATCTTACCATAGCAACTAGTTCGAAGCTCTGCAATCATTCAGTCATTCATCAAACATTCATCAGATATCAACTAAATGTACGTACAGCTGAAGATTCAGTCAAGATGAATTACAATCTGATCTCTGCTCGCAGAGAATTTGCATTCTTGTAGAGATCAGACAAATACACCAAAAAAAAAAAAAAAACCCATATGCATGCAACGGAGTCAGGTAACGAATGTAAGATGCCTAAAGAAGCAGTAAGTACTTAATAAGTGGTACTTAGTAAATGGCAACTGGAGTTCTTGTTCAGTGGCATTTCAGAGGGTCTTAGCAGATGGACAGGAATTTACTTGGTCAAGATGGGAGCCAGGGGAGAACATGTAGGCTAGAATCGACAGCATAAGTAAAAACAGAAAGGAGAATATTTCTAGTCTAGTTCAGATGAAGGGGTTGGGTCATGAAGGGTTTTGAATGCCAGGCTAAAGATAACAGACTTCATCCTATGGGAAATGGGGAGACATTTAAACAGAAATTTTAAAAAAATATATTCCGCAGCAGTGCTGCGGAGGAAAGATGAGCTATTGAGAGACTAGGGGCCAGCAGGCCGGAGTGCCCCTGCCCCTAACCCACAGGCCATGGGAAAGATAAGGTAGTCCCCGTCCCTGATTCCGATGGGGAAGCCCAGTTCAATGGATACAAACTTAAGATGACCTTACTCCAGAAGTGTGTACAGTTCCATGAGGGCAAAGTGACACCAATGCCAGTGAGCAGTGGCCCTGCAGGTGGCAGCCTCGACCTTGCTCAGCCTGCACAGGTGGATCCCTTTTATCGATTCCAGCCGATCCGGTTCTGAGGCTTTCGTTGCGCCTTCAGCTGCTGGGAACGGTGGGTGTCAACCTCTTCCTCTGCCCACGGCAGAAGGAATTCAGAAGCATCAAGCCATGCACAGGCCCCTTCAGTTTATTATATCGTGACCATGTTCCTGGAATAGGACAGCCGAGCCATTCTGAAGTACAGGGGCTACACGCCAGGGCTAGGGGCTGCGTGTAAGCTCAGAGACTCCCTGGCGACCCTTCAGGTGAAGATGGTCTCCTTTGAACTCTCTTGAGCCAAGATGGAGTGTGAGCAGATGCCGGCAATCTATCCACACGTCAAGGACAAGGGCAGCGCAGATGCCGTGCAGCGGTAGGCCGAGGGCCAGAGCACCTATCTGCCTCGATGGGACTGGGTGGTGCTGCAGAGGTCGGCCATCCAGTGGGCGGCCAAAGGACCGCTGCAAGGCCTGCGTGACCAAGTCCCAAAGGTCACTGGACACCTACAACAGCTGCTGGGAGAGCCAAAAGCCACCCCTAAAGGCCTCGACGAGCCTGCGGGAGGAGCCTGTGGCAGGAGACACGGGGCTGGCCTCAAGGACAAGTTCAATGGCCTGCCCCACTCGCTCCTGACCATGTCCAGCTCCCCGCAGGGTGGCATCGATAACCTTCCACTCTCCTGCCCGACCATGGCCTTGGCCTGCTTAGCGGACCATACTTCTCAGCTCCGGACCACGGGGAACGGTGCAGACTCGGAACCCAGGGCCACAGACTGGAGGCTGCACGTGTGGCTGATCTGAGGCGACCCCTGCCCCTGCGGCACTGTCATCTGCCCTAGCCAAGCATCCACACTGCAGCCTGTGCTGTAGGTTCCCCCTCTGCCAGCTCTGCGACAGTCTGCTCGCCTGTCTCCTGCCTCCAAGCCCAGTGCCTGCCCCAGCAGAGCCTCTGCCCACGACAGCCTGGCGCACCTCCAGTCCAACTCCCAGCCGTCCACCACGGCCACCTCGCTGTGGCTTCTGGAATCACCCAGGTGCCACCAACACCTGCACCCCAGCTGGGCTCCAGGGCCCTGACCCCGCCCCCAGGCTGTCGCCACCACAGCCCCGTCCAGCCCAGTCCAGCCCATGGCATCATGGGCCGTGCTCCCATGCGCTGAGGTGTGGACCTTCCATAGTAGGAGCCACTTTCCCCTTTCTGTTGTTCGCACAGGCCCCTTACTGTATTGTAAAGTTTTGAGATTTATTTTCAAATAAATATTCAACTTGCTGTGTGTTTCGAAGTGGTTAAAACATTAATTATGCAGCTTTTTACAAAATGCCCTGGGCTTTTTAGTCTTCCAAGGGAGGGTCTCATGCCCTTTGGTGTGTGTCCTCCACTCTCCCTTGGCCAAGGGTATAGCGGCGACCGTTGGGGCAGAGAAGGAGGAACGTCCCCAAGTTGGCAGCAAGTCTGTGCGCCTGCAGACTGTGACAACCTCGTGACGAGTCAGGAACCTCCCCTGTGATCTTCAGTCTGGTTTTTGCCATTTGCACTCCAAACTTCTTGAGTCTTGTATCCGAAGGAAACTCCTTTGGGATTCTCATGACCCCTCCATCTCAGTCCTCTTCACGCATTCCCAGGACTCTGCCACACTTGCGAGCCCTCTGCACTAAAAGTGGGCGGGACTTGGCCTGTGCCCATCACATGGGTCTTCCGAGATTCTCAGCGCTTCCGAACCAAAGGCCCCTTAAACTCCTCATACAAATGACTGAGCCCCAGATTTTCCTTTCGGGGTGCAGAGCAGGAGTGGGGTGAGAGTTCGAAAACAAAACCGCTTCCTTGTGAATTAATAGGATATTTTAGCCACAAGTGTTTGTGACGTACAGAATGTTCCAGGACTCCACACGCAGTACGTCTTCCGGTAGACGGAGGTTTTCAGCTCTCGTGCCAATTTAAATCTGGCTGAATCCTGAGGCCACTGTGAATTTGCTGACGTTCTTCCAACTCAATTGAGTGATTTAAAGGTTTTTCAATTGTATTGCACTTTTTGGTAATATATCTAGTAGATCACATGTAGATATTCAATATGTATATAAAGCGGAATTTCAACCAACCACATTTCAGAAGCGTCAATGCCCATCCCACTCCCGAGAGCTCTAGTTTTCCAGTTTTCCATTTGAGATCGTGGCAGCACTGCAGTAACTCTTTTAACCAACTGTGAAGCCACATAACTTACACAGTGGACAAATCAGGAAGGACTAAGTTGTCCCAGGAGAGAAAGTCCACTGCATGTCACATCACGGAAATAGCATGTTCGCGGAGCGGAACAGGATGTGCTCTGCCCATGGCCGTCCTTGGTGTGCATCTTACTGAATGAGGTTGCTGTGACCGACATAGTTAAGTCTATGCTAATTTAAAGATGTAGATGTTTGGCATTTGATTTCTACTAAGAGTTAAAATCTTGAGAGATGATTTAAAAAATAGTAAAGTGTTTTCCATTATTTAAAAAAAATAGTCTATGACCATGCCACCCTGAACAAGCCTGATCCTGTCTGATCTCAGAAGCTAAGCAGGGTCGGGCCTGGTTAGTACTTGGATGGGAGACCACCTAGGAAGACCAGGTGCTGTAGGCATTAAAAATTTAAAAAAAAAATAAGAGATTGTAAGCTGACAAGGTCCTTGTACTCTGTGAGGTCAACCAAGGGTTGCCTCGCCCCAAAAATAAAAATAAAATATAAATAAAAAAATAAAGTAAATTAAAAAAATAGCCGTGATCATTAGTGGTTACTACTCTGCGCTGTGAAAGACTAGAGGCATTGAGAGTAACGGCCCACCTAAGAAGTAACAATGATTTAAATCGAGGGCAATGGTAACAGAGGGCGAAACAGTAGGGCTTCCCTGCTACCTGGATGTTGGACAGAGAGAGGGAGATGGAAGAGCATCACTGAAAACTCTGAAAGTCTAGGTGAAGAGGAGGCCAGTACTATTGATATAAGCAAGAGGGAAATGAGGAGGAGCAACTCACAGGGCAGAGCAGAATGGACATGACTTTGATTTTTAAAAGGTTAAAGGTGCTGAGTTTCATAAATCA